GCAAACAACCAGCCACCTGAAACAACCAACTGACACGCAAGCTCATTTATTATATTAGCAGCTTTGGCTTCTTTGGAGGTCGGGCGACATTGACAAGTCATGAATGAGAGGTGCTGAAAACGAAACAACACACACTTGGAGATGCATTTAGTATGTGTGTATATTGTGAAACACTTGTTTCTTGGTCCACCTAACAAACTACATAAACCTACCCAAAGTGGATGCACGAACTCACGGACTGTGATCGACGCGCCCCCACTCAATCCCTTGCTGGGTTTCCAGCGGGTACTGGTGGGTAAATGATGTGAGACCATGAATGACCATATATACAGAAAACAGACATATTTAAAAGAATCACACTACGGAACCAGGCGTCTACCCAAAGTGGATTGTTCTGAGCCACTTGTACCTGATGTTGTACCTCCACAGTCATGCGTATACCAGGATTTTCACCTTCACGCACTAGGAAGGCTCTTTTTGGTCTAGAAATGTAAGAACTTCTGAACTGTGGAACCTTGGCGAAGATAGGATACCCCTATAGGAAAGTACACCTTTTTGCGCAACAAGGTGTCTATAAACATGAACCAGTGAAATCAGGTCAACCATGTTGTCTCCAAGGTAAACTGAAATCAAAAGATGTCCTCGTCTTCAACCAAGGCATGCGCAGAAGGGTCGGCGATTGTGGCTAGGCCGAGAAAGACGCGGGGTTGAAGGGAGGAAGTGCCACGAGACCTTGAGTCGAGGAGGAGCCTCAAGGTGTTTGTCACAAGCAAAAGGGCCCCAAACAACCCCAAATCTTGTTTGGGGGAGCGGGAGTTGTGTTTGACCACGGTTCATATATATATATATATGTATTTTTTTAAAAATTATGTTCATGTGTTTTTCTATAGATCTAGCAAACCCGCCTCAAGTCGCTCGACATGGTGACCCAGTTCGAAGCTTCCCTTGATGGAGAAAGCACCGGTGTTCGGGATCTCCATCCTGAAGCAGACGGGCAGAAATCCAAGGTTGAAAGGTGAGGCTGACCTCTGCGAGAGGACATCCATGACACATAATAGAATCTTAAAATTAGGCCAGTGTCCACTGTCCACAGTTTCTTTCAATGTAGTTGCACCAGTAGTTCTTTGAGACATACTGGATCATCTCATGATTTCTATCCCTTTCTTTGTGAATAGCACGCACGCATCAACAACCAGATTAGAGCTGAGAAGTGCAGGACCAAAGAGATACAGTAGAACTTGCGGAGAAAGCTCTCCCTCCCAAGGATGCATCAGTATGTCAGGATCCCAATAGGGTCTGTCCAATTACCTGTAGCAGTCAGTAAACAATTAACATCATTTTTGAACAAGGCCTTTACTAACCATCATCATCCACGGTTACAGGTGATAGATTTAATACATCGAAAATTACTTGGTTTGTTGAGAAAAGTTGTTTGACACAGGTCCAATCTGTTCATTGAAATCGGTGAAATCCTACTAGTACTGGTAGGTGAAGGGCACGAGAAGACAGCCCCTACTGTAGCGGACCAAGAGGCTGAAAAGGTCAAGTTGATAAGGTCAGCAGTGGCCGACGGATGCCTATTTGATCCTATTCGTGTATTGGTCTGGATGCCGTGTGGCACAGCTTCATTTCACCAAGTCTTCGCCTTGATCAGAAAAACACCAAAAGCCAAGAACAAACACCGGGAAAACAAAAAAACAAACACCACAAATCACATGCTCAGTGACCTTTGCGCCGTGAAGATCTTCAGGCATCTCGCCAGCATGGGCTCTCACATCTGCACGTAGTCTAGGGTAGTCTAGGGTAGTGTTATGGCCCCGAAGGTTCCAAATTTTCAGTCAGGTCTCATAGGGCGAGGTCTGCTAGGTCGGTCCGGAGCTCCGACTTGTCAGGTCCGGACGCCGCGGACCGGTTCGCGGATCCGCGGTCCGCGCGTGCGTGCTCGCGTCGTGGAGACGATGCAGAGATCAAGTCGGTACAAGAAGTTCAAACATGAATTCTTGGAGACGCATGTTGCGTGGTCGGCGATGATTGGGGACAGGTGCTAACTGGCACTTTGACCTCCAAAGAGGTAGAAGTAGCCGCAGGCAGCAGGCAGCCCACAGCCGCCGCGATCAAATCCACACGATCCACGTTGGACGACGTCCGCCCCGTCAACAGAAGACATGTTGGTCAGGACGACAGAGTCACCCTCCTGGGACTCTGCAGCTAGGGATGCACCGGTCTGAAAGGGTGCCACGTGGAGCTGCATGGAGCTTCAGTTGAGCAGAGGGGGCGTGTTTATACTATGTTATACTCACCTTCTGTGTTTCCACTCTTTGCTTGGGTGTCCCACAGGAGGGGTCCACCCTTTGCCCTCCCCTTCCGAGTGGCCTGTGGCCTGGTCCTCGCGCCCTTGTTCCTCCCGCAGTCAACTGTCCCTGTGGCCACAGTTAACTGTCCCTGCGGCCCTGGCCTACCTGGGACTCTGTCCACAAATATATAAACCCAAATATTACTCCTTTTTGATTTTCTTGATGGCAGTGTTTCTAATGCGCTTAGAAACCGAAGAGACAGACCATTTCCATTTGTGGGAAGGATCTCCAACCAGCGCACTGGAATCAACATGTTCCTGAAAAGGGACCCGATCACTCAGCACAATACGTGTGCCCCAACAGCACTAAAGCCACAAATCGATACACATCATTTTGGACACCTATATTATACGTCTTTATTGGGGGTTCCAACTTCACCGTTTTCAGCGATTGATTCCGCAATTCCGCACTTCAAACTTCCAGATCCTCTCCCTGCACACACACTTCGGAACAACAGGGGTGTTAGTTGGGAGGCGATGAATGGGCCCGACGCGAGGGTGAAGCATTGCTGGACAGGTGCGGTGCCAGGGTGCCAAGTCACTGACCTGTTTTTGTGATGCGGACATGGACTTTTGATGTCTAAGCAGCTATGTTATTTATGGCCAGTGGTATAGGTGTTCTAGATATTTGCTTTTAAATAGATGGCTTAGGCTTTCTTGGGTATGTCCTCCGTTAAACAAAACAACACAGACCAGCAGATTCGTGCAGATGCAGATTTGATTTCGTTTGGCAGCCAACGGGTTTGGGTGTTCCGGAAACCATTCCTCCTTGTGAAGGAAACTGGTCTTCGTGTCGTTGAATGCTATGCCAACACAGATGCCTTGTGAACGAAAGCCAGAGTGATTTGTGCAAAGGTCTCAGCAGCCAAGGTCACATGTTTGCTCAGAATGCATGAAAAAACATGGTGCAACTGATGTTTCCGTGCTCATTCTGCGCTGTCAGCTACTGTCGCTACTGTTTCAGTCTTTCATCACTCCACACCGACAGCATGGGGTGCCTGGCCCCGGCACAGACACGCGCCAGGGTCGCCCAGAAGTATGACATCACGTCTCTTTGATTCAGCTTCGGGAGGGGTGGCAAACAGCAACTGAAGTCGATCGGACATGGTTTTGACTCAACTCTCTGCTGTCGGAGTTCCCGGCCGAATGGGCGTTTCTGCGCGATTTCACTCCGTTGCGAATTTGGCGCCGAGCTGGCCAGTCAATCCAGTTCGAAGGGAGGTGTTGGGCATATATATATATATATGTTGGGTTCGAAGGTGTTAGAGTTGAAGGATGTAGGCGTAGGTGGATTTAGCATGTTTTGAGATGGGATGAGATGGGTCCAGGAACAGAAGCAACCGAGCTGTTTGAGTTGATGAGTTTGAGGCTGTTTTTTCCAGCTGCACGCAGCTGGACCCTCCAACATGCTTCATGTTGGATGCGAGTTTCAATGAATTTGCATGTCCAAAAGAGCATATGGAGCTTCTAGAACCATCTAGAACCCAAAGCTGGCTGATTGTACAGTAGACTGGAACATTGTTTATTGTTTACTTATTTTGTTCAACGAACCATTTCAACGAACCTTCATGAGTTTCAGGTTGCTGAACATGCTGACCGAACACAATGAAAACCAGTGACCTTCTTCGCCTGGACGAACGACTGGACGAGGTACTCCTGGACTGGTCGATGTTCCTCCGCGATGGATTCCTTGCGTCTGGTTCTTTGGGCGCAGTCGCTGGGGAAGAACGAGGTGGGATGCCACGGAAACGCATTACGGATCCGGTACGGATGTTCCGGTACGGGCGGATTGGGACGGATGCTCCAGGAACAACACATCCAGCAGATCCATTTTGGCTATTGCAGGTAGGTAAGCAGTAAGCTGAGTAACTCGCCTGCTATGCTCACAGTTCACATGCTGCAAGTGAACTGCAATCTCAATCGCTCACAGTAAGAAGGGTTTCTTGGTGTTTTTTTGTTCATCCAACCACTCACCTCCAAGGAACTCCCGGCTGAACGGCTGTAGCCTAAGAGAGAAGCCTTTTTGTAGGCTAAATAGGAAGCTGCGTCGAGGCTTGACCTTTTTCTTCACAGAATAAATCCCTATAAATTCCTTTGATACGGAGGTTGTCCACCCGCCCTTATGTTGGCTTTTGAGAGAGGAGCTATGAGCCCTTCAGAAAGGTACGAACAATTGTGGATGGCCAGCTGCGGGAAGACATTTCACAGAGTCATGGTTCTGCAACCTATCATTTGTTTTTGGAATCGCACATATCAACATAAATTTGTAGAAGATGTAGAAATATGTGATACGGTAAGACTATGTATGTGTGTTCACGCAATCCTTTGTTGCCGAAGCATAGTTGTGTGTTGGTGGCAGAAGCGATCTGTTGCGCACGACCGTTCCCCAACCATCCTCGAAGGAGACAAGCAAAGCGAAAGTTCCCAAGAAACCGTGTCCAATGTATGTCCAAGGAATTCATGAAGACTCAGTTCTGAGAGTGTGATAGCTTTTGGGTGACTACACCAAGTGGCTTTGTAGAAGATTATTTAGTTCCCTCGCCCAGAGAAGGTGTTGATTTGCTTGCCCTACGGTTGGATCATGGAGTAGGATATCCAAAGTGAAAATCAGTTGGCATTCAGATATTGACTACTATCACTTGGAATGTCTTAGAATCCTAACGGAATACTAAAGGAATAGCACGCGAAGTTCCTGAATGTCGGGCTGGAGTCACGGAAAGATTAAGTAAGGTTCTACTCATTGATTGGCTGCCGGCTTATAGTACGCTCGTTTCATTGCGTTCTTAAGACTAAGAACTCACAACACTCCATGGATCTATATATATATATAGGGATCAACCACCTGACAAGCTTCTTTTGCAGGGTCCAGAAGATTGATCCCGTCAAGTAGTCTCCGACAGACTCATGTGTGTTGTGACGTTGAGCCGCTGGATTCCTAGTTGAGCGGCCCCTTGTATAGTTTC